TGCTAGGAGCTGCCATTCTGTGCCCTTGTAGAGTCAGTCTCCTGGGGTACAGCTGTGGTCAAAAGGCAGTGGATCAAGTGGAAACAGTCTGGGGGCACCAGGCTGAACCACTGCTATATCTCAACAGCTGGTCCTTTACTTTATTCTGTTTGTCCTGATCCAAGATTGATTCAGTTTCCAGTGTCCTTTTTATGAAAAGACTGCACTCCTGTCTATGGACTAGACACATTTTTTTCATCTTCCATCTCTACTATTAACTTTTCCTTAAAACCTAACTGTTCTTCATCCTGAGAGTGTTTACTTACCTGCTGTCTCTATGACAGTAATACGTGTGCTTTGTCCTGTAATGAGTATCTGTGACATCTACCTCCGTATTATCTTAGCACTGATGCACAAGTCTTTCTCCTGCAGAAGTTGCCTGTTAAGCGTCCAGACATCCCTGAAAGCTTGTTAAAAATGAAAGATGATGGACCAGAGGAAGAGGAAGAAGAGGAAGAAATGGAGGAGGAGGAGGAAGTAGATGCAATTAACAGCAAAACATCAAACCTGGAAATTAAAATGACAACTGAAGAAGAAACAGGAAACGAAACTAATGCTCCCGAAGGTTCTCCCTGCAATAACAAGAATCTAGAATCCTTTCAGGATGGTAAACCATAGGTTTTGATTTTTCCAGTAATGAAGCTGAGTCTGTTACTGCTGAATTTTTCAGAGCTATGTGAGTCTCCCCAGGTTTGAGTCGCAGGTTCTCCAGAAGATTTCTCTTACATAGATTTTTGCCATGAGCCCAGAGTCTGTGTGCCAACAGCTGAGTTTCACATGGTTCAGGTTGAAACTCTGCTTGGCAGTCAGTTTTTCATGCTTTTGGTGAAACAGAAGAAATCCCCTGGACACAAGAAAGGTCCTGTTTTTGATAAGCCCTGTTTTCATTAGATTGAGCGTCCATATGGTAACAACTTCTGGTAACAACTTCATTGTGTTGTTGGCAGGGAGAGTGACTTCATAAGAACACAAATGTCTCTGTAAAGCTTCAGATCTGTTTGTGAGGAGGAAAAATAATTATTAAAGTGGTAATGGAGAGGTATCTTCCTTGTATCTGTGTGGTTTATCTCCAGTCCATCCTTTTCTATATCAGCTTGGTGTATTTGAAAACTCACTACTGATGTTTCTCAGTAAATCATGTGTTTGATGACAGAAACCCGGTTCTAAGTTATTGTCTTAATGCTGGACAGGTCGCTCTTGAACAGTATGTTTTAACCAGTCACAAATTTTTCATTAATATAGTATTGTGCTGGACTTGGTGGATTAAATACTTTGGAGGACTTTTGAGAGAAGAGTTCTTCCTGAGACAAATGTATCTTTCTTATTTTTACAGGGGTTCATTTTCTGCCTGAGCCAAAGGTGCTAAGGAATAAATCTCAGATGGGACCCTCGCAAGAGAAATCTCAAGGTGAGCAGTACAATTTAGACTCTATGATACAGTAGCATGGGGGTTTAGAAACTGTCCAAAGAAGCTGTTGTTGTCTGTCAGTAGAAGGAAAGCAAGCCTCATCTAGAGCCTAAAGTAAGAATCTAAAATTCAAATGAAGGATTTTATTTTGGGAAGTGCTAAGTGTATGGTGAAGACAGGTCACTTCAACTACGTTTCATTTCTCTTTGCTTTTCATAGTCATTAATTACTTTGAGATCCTCTATTTAAAAATAATAGCATGAGAAGAGAAGAAAAATTATTTTTATTTAGGAGCATAAACATAATGCTTTTTTTTCCTCCCTTATTTTCTTGCAGTAGCTCTTAGCACTACAGAAAGACAGAACTTTCCATTTATAAAGTGACAAATACTATGTAACATTATCTAGCACTCTGTTAATGACCCGGATGACCCCTCTACATATACACCAAAAAAACCAGATTCTCTAAATGAAGACTCTGTTTGGTGTACTGAATATTTGGAGATCTGTATAAATTTTCTAGGTTTTCATAACTCAGGCTCTTATGAATATGTTGTCCTGTCCTCATTATCTTGTCCACAGACTTAAGCCATAAGAGTCTCAATATTTCACAGATGAAGTGGCACTAAAACCAGGCATACTTCTATCTTTCTGTCTTTCTCTCTGCTGTGTTACTGTGAAATTACTTTTTCATTAAAAAAAAAAAAAAGCATGTTGGTCGTGCACATTTCCTACTGTTTCCTTCCAAATCAGTCACTGCAGTGATTTCAGGTAGAGAATATCTTTTTAGAAAATAAACATCTGGCATTAAGTAAAAGTATGTTACAGAATCCCAAGTGTAGGATCTTACTCAATTGCATTTGGGTAGGTGACTGACAATGTATTAAATGTAAGTTAATCTATGAAAAACAAAAAGATGTGCAGCAGTTTTAAGTATGAATTTCGTTTCAGTGAGCCGTCTTGGATTTCCTTTTAGAAGTATCAGTTTTTAGGTGAACTTTCTATAAGCTGATTTCTGATAGAATTGGTCATTCATGATGTGTCATAAAACAAATCTTCTTTCTTCTCAGCATCTGAGGCAGTATGTAAGGAACCTGAAGAGACATCTGAGAAAGTTAAGAAAATCAATAGCTCAAGCAAGGTCAGTGATGACACCATGACTCCTGCAGCTTAAGAGTTTCGAGGAATCATTTACTAGGCTCTTTATTAGTGAAATATAACAATTTGATTGAGTATGACTTGGCGATAGTAGTGCTTTTCTACTGACTGAGACCTGAACTTAGAATCAAACACTGCCATTGGACACAGATTTTGGAGTCTCCCATGAGAAGGAAAGCACAGCATTTCAAGCACGATAGAGGCTCTCAATTCAGTCACAAATTTATTTTTTCACCTTTTCACTTGGCAGTTAGTCTCTGCTAATTGCTATTTCTTCTCCTGTATCACAAGTGTTATAGAACACAGGTGCTCTCTGGGCTTTAGGAATGGCATTACAAAACTTTCCTTGGAGAGTAGCTTGGGAAGCATGTATTGGCTGGCACAGAACATGCTGGATCAAAATTGTAGCTAGTCTGTATTGTCAGTACCAAACATAATCCTTCCCTGTAGATGTGGAAAGAGAGAAGTCTAAGAGATTATTGTATTTTGCAACCCAGTTTTTACTAAATATGAGTAGATGTACCAGACAATGTTCCTCTTGTGCATAAGATTTTTGAGCCTTGCTCATTCTGGGACATGAGCAATTGTTGCATTCCTGGAGCTGGGAAGGAACTTATGTGACAGTGTGCTCTTGGCCTAATGATTATTGTGAGGTTCTTCTCTTTAGAGTGCATCCCACCCTTCTGTTGACTGCTATCAAAGAAGATTACTGTACTTGGTAGGCCATGAGTTCTGACCATTTTGACATCTTTGTGGTGGCCATCTAATTTTAGCCCTGCACCACTTGCTTAAAGCAACTTAACTCCCTGCAGCCTGTGTCTGCTAACTGCTGCCTTGTTAGCCCTGGGAAAGGATCCCAGGATTGGAGAGGCACAGCCTTGAGAGTTGTCCTTTGTTGCTGGCCTAAAAAGCATGTTGATAAAGAAAGCAAGAGTGAACTTACACTGGTAAAGCCCAAGTTGTACCATTTCTATGAATATGGGAGAACAAGGCAGCTTCTCACGCTGAGGCAGTCAAGTCAGCACCTCTCCTCAGCACAGTTCACTCCAACGCTGAGCATTCTCCAAATACCAGATGGCTTAGCTGCATTCTCTCTCCCATCACAAATCACTTTTTCCACATGCTGTCTCTGCCTTTGGGCTCAGATCTTGCATGGAAAATATCAACCAGAAGTCAGCTTTTTTTTTTTTCCTCTCAATATTTTGAGAAATAGTTTTGAATCATGTAAAACTGGAAAAACAAATTTAAAGTGACTGTTCACAAGCCATATTTAAAAACTGTTCAACTCTGCAGTCTAATGTTTTGGAAAACATTAGTCTTTCAAAAGAACTGGGTTAGAGGTTAATTTGGGGAAGGAGTTTTTGAGGGAATGAAAAATTGCTTCAGCTGCATAACTTAAGACTGTGTCATGATACCACAGAGTAATGCAAATCAGTGCTGAGTAACTTGGCTACATTTTCAGCTGTTTAAGTCTTGCACTCTACAGTTGTATGAATTTTTTTTGATAGCTACCTGCAGTTATTGAAAACAAAAATTCTGGAGAAAATGATGGTGATGTGGCAAAACTTAAAAATCTAGGAACAAAAAGACATTGCTGTGTCAACATTTGAATTGGAAGTGACCTGTTTCAGTTTGCTTTAAACATTTCTGTGATGCCAATGAGATGTGAAAACATTGGATTTTCTTTTGAAAAACTAAGTTACCATTATACAACGGCTGAACTTTTATATCCTCCAGTTTGAAAGTCACCTTACACCTGACGTTTTCAGTGGGATTGCACGTGTAAATCACTAAAGCAGTTCTTGAAAATCCTACTCTAAAGCCTTTCCCTGCATAAAGAAATTCTGTGTCAAATGACGCTACCAAACATTAGGATGACAAGACTAAACTGTCCAAAAGTGTCCTGTTTTGATGGGGAGATTGGACTGGATGACTTCTGGAGGTCCCATCTAACCAGCATTTCTATTATTCTGTGACTCTACTGGGAGTAAACTGGACCTATTTGTGGGTTTGGTATTTCTTCTTTCCTCTGTATTATTGTTTTCAGCCCTGACTCTTGTAGAAATAACCCTCACCTTTCAGTATTTGTCACTGAATTATGCGAGATTTAGTGGCTGTGACACATTGCTGGAGGGGTGAAGCACCTGAAAAATCTTTCCTCCTTTTGCAGGTCCAACAACATTTTTTTTCCTCGCAGTACCCAGATGATGACCCAGACTACTGCATATGGATTCCTCCTGCAGGTATCAACCATTTCCTTACTGTTTTTAGTCTTATAACTCAAGAATCTACCTAATGAGTAGTCAGGGTGTCCTTGTAACTTCTTGAGATAGAAGTAATTCCGGAATACTTTACCCAGAACCTGATGCTTTCTGACATGTTATGCTCCATTAGATGTATCTCCATGCAAGTCTTGCAGTGAAATGCAGACCATATCTGTAGTAGCTTCGTCTGAATGGACAGATACACATGAAGTTTGTTTTTCAGTTTTGTAACACCTGAGAGCGCTAACTCCGTTCACACGTAGTTGAAAGACAAGCTCAGACCTTCACTAGGGATAAATGCACCAGTAGTCTTAGTATTCTCAGTTTTCATAGAAGTCTGTGAAATCTGGAAATCTTCCTTGCAGATTTTTGCAAAAAGCATTGGAATACAAACTTTGGGTCATGTGTTTTGGAGAGAAGTCTTGGTAATGCTTTGGTAAAGGCACTGAATATAATTGATGCAAACATCCAGTATATGTTAAAGTTGAACAAATTTTTTAGTTTAGTTCCAGAGTGTTTTTAGCTAAGTGAGGTTATTCTTAAACAGTGTAATGAATTTTGAGTTTCTCTAAAATGGAAAATTCATTTTCACGCACTGAGGTTTTCATAGTAAGTTCAAAGCTTAGCTTTCATTTGGTAAATTCATTACTATAATTTTTATAAGACTGTTGCAGGCTTATATTATAGGTAGGCTCCAAAGGGAATAAGAAAAATGAGAATAAATTTCACTGAAGAAAACTATAACCTGGTGAATCATCCTTCAATGAGAAGACTGCACTTCTCTGGCATATGAAGCCACTGGAGCAAAATACCCGATTCAGTAACTCAGAGGTCTGGTCTGGGATAGCCAAGCAAGCTGTGTCCATAAGAGGGAGCTCCTTTTTCTGTCTCTGCCTGCTGATAATCAGACTTGCTGTCTGTCTAAGCTGGCATAATGAAGACACTAGGAAAAAAAAACAAATAAAAAACCACACCAAAACCAGGAATATATGATGTAGTCTTGACACTTTTAGTAAGGTTAAGAGGAATTATAAACCAAAATTGTAATATTCAGTCTTCCTTAACCTCTTTGTGCTTGTCTGACTGGTGCTGCCTAGAGACTGTCATACTTGGGTACAAATTTATCTTGGATGGGGGGGTAAAAAAAAGCACTGCAGCTCTTCCTCTTTGTCCATTAGGTCAAAGTGGTGATGGCAAGACTCATCTCAATGAAAAATATGGCTACTAAGCTTCGAGCGCCCCAGAGTACGCCTGAGGTTTGAAGGACTGCTCTACTTTGAACTCTTTCACCACACGTTAAGTGAGGGCTAAGAGTTGTTTTTTCAGACGCTGTTCCAAATTCAAGGGCATCAGCAGCCACTCCAGCTGTTGGCTCTCCCTGTGTGTCTTCTGTTTGTCTTCCAGATACCTTTTCAAAAGTAAAAGCCCACGCATTCTTCTGTCTCTTCTTCCACTTTTAACCTTGTCTTTTTATTTGGCTTAAAACCATAGGCTCGTTTTTCCTTTTGTAAATAAAAATATACAAAAACTATTAAAAAAATACACCTCTGTATACGTATGGGCTTGATGAAATTTATTCATGTTGGTTTTATGCAATTAAAATGAGAAACACTGCTGCTTTGCTGCTGTGGCTGGTATTTGAAAATACTGTCATGGTAAACGCCACCTAAAACTTGAGGGTTTTGGTTTTTTTCTTTCTTGTGGAAAAAACCTTCTATTTTGTAGGAAAATCCAGCGGAGTGGCCCCCCCCCCCCTGCCGCAATGGCGGCCGCCTCCTGGCACAAGGCCAGGCCCCACCTCTTTTCATGCTGCTCTGTGGTTGGCTGCTTGCTGTTTTATTTCTGTGATGGTCCTACTCGCGTGATCTCAGAGCGCCCTCTGATTGGCTGCCCGTTTCCTTTGGAACCAGGAAGTGCTCCAGTATAAGGATATTGGCTTTTCCATCTCACATATGAATATCTGTATCTGAAGTAGGATGTAAATATTTGTGTTATTTATTCGTGGATCCAATTCCTAAAGGTATTTATGTATGTGCCTAATTAGTGTGTATATGCTATATATATTAAAAAAATTTATGATTTGAACATACATCCATAAAAGTGCGGGTATAAATGGGATAAACACTCTTTAGGAAGAGGTACTGAAATGAATAACGGCAGTTTAAATGCGAATGGCAATAATTAAACAAAAGCAGAGGGTGGGTTTGTGCCCCCGTGACGGGTACGTCGCCACAGGGCGCGTGAGACACTGGGGAGCAGGGATAACCGTACCGCTCCTCTGGTTCTCGCAGTGATCGTGCTGGAGCGATGGCGCCCACTCCAATTTTACCCCACAGAGAATGTGGAGCAGTTTGACAGCTTGGCGTTTTGTAGGGTTTTACTTAATATTCTCAAGCTGCAAAACAGCATCTTCTTTCTGCCTGTAATTTTCAACATATTTAGGGGTTTTTTGTCAGCGTCTGCGCACCAGGCTGGGCAGCCTAAAGCTTCCCGCTTCTGGCAGAGGCGTAGCTTTACATCATCCAAGGAAAGGCTGTTGCCGCTGCGTTCGAAATGCCAGACCTCAGACGCTTCACGGACTCGGTAGCCCTTCTCCAGAGCCCTGTTCCATGCCAGGGTGCATCAGGCGTCTGCAGGGGACTTCTTCATCGCTGCAGACACGGAGAGCCTGGTGGGTGTCAGGCAAAGCACAGCACAAGGGGAGCAATAGTTTGCCATTTGTACTCGTGAGAAGCATAGGGAAAAAGAGCCCACAAGGTGCGTACACCTTTACCTGGACCATCCCAAAGCAGGTGATCAGTGTGTTGAAATCCTCAAAAAAAAGGAATTCTGGGTTCCCAAGAAGCTATTTTTTTTTAGTTCTGCTGATGAAAGGATAGAGGCTAGCAAAATCATGGCGACCTATCTTTTTATCGAGGGCAGCTTTGTAGTACAGACAGATGGTGTGTGTCCTGCTGCCAAAAAGCACATCTCTGGCTATCAGGGATGGGGCAGTTTGGTCCTGGCTCAGACCACGAGCTCCCCATCTGTTTCTTTTTGTAGCAGCTCAGTTGTGCTCCCGTACAGAGCTGATATTAAAATCTTCTCTCTTTAGGTGGTCCATCTTCTGTTGCACTGTGTAACGTGAATACCCAAAGGTGGTTCCTGCTGGGTGGTTCCAGTCATTTTCACAGCAGCATTCAGTACAGCCGTGGATAAAAGCACCCATTATATTTGAAAGCTGTTGGCATCCCATCAGTAATCACTTAGTCATCCCAGCAGTAGGTTCCCACTTGAAACTCGCACCACTTAACACATGACAGGTTTGAATATTTTCCTTCTTCGCCAGGTATATACGTCATTGGTCAAATATCTCTTTTTCCTCCAACGATAGCCATAAACCAGTGTGTGTACATGTCAAGAATTGCTTTTTTTTCCTTAAGCACCATGCTGTATACCCTGTCGTAATCCTGTTGTAGGAGAGGGCCTACATAGCTTTGATTTTCAGCAGCGTTGAAATAATGGAGGAAATAACTTTTGCAGATCTCGATACCCAACACTTAGGGAATACTGCTTAGTTTCGTGGGTAAAAAATTTAAAGAGTGTATGAAAGTGAAAAGTCTAGTTGCATATCAATTTAGCACCCTGGGCGATTAATTACACACCCATTTTTTCTTTCAGAAGCTGGCTGACAACAGAGCAGCCATCATAGCCTTTGGCGTTAGAGCAACATTGCCCTGAAACTTTGTGACATTAAGCAGCTGAGTAAAGTCTGCATTTCCTCTTGAAGCTCCCATTCTCCTTCAGTTTTCCTTCCCACTCCTTCTTCATCCCATGGGGCATCTGGCACTCACTCCATGGCAAAAACGTAATTTGGGCCATGTGCCCGAGTTTCTGCATGCGTCCCATCTCATAAAGAAGAGAGCCATGCCTGGGGTTTTGATCGTGGGCACACAGTGCTGCTGCTGGCTTACGTTGCAGGTCTGTTCATGGCACAGACTGCGCCTCCAGCCTCTAGGTCCGAGATGCTTTTCAACGTAGATTTTGCACTTTGTTTGGCTCTGATTTTACATGAAAATCTGGGTTCCCTTGAGCTGCACAGCAGTCTGCAGCTGGGGCACCTTCTTCTTGTGGCGGTGTTAGGTGCACAGTCACGCAGCAAGCAGAGCCAGCAATGATATTTACAGCTATGGGTATGATTATAGCCTATCTGGCAAAGCTCACAAAGGTTTCTCACCCCAAATACCTTTCCTGACCTCCCTAACACTATAATGATGTTCACTGTGTCAGAGGAGAAAAGGAATCTTGGGACATTTAGGACTGTTGCTTGGCTTAAGAGTCCCCCAGCATTGTTCTGCTCAGATAAGAGGACAATGAGTATGTTAACAAGCAGCAGGTCCGAACAAGGGAATCCTGCTCAGCCTGACCTTCCTGTGCACAGCCCACTCTGTGTTTTCACGGAGCTCGTTTGCTGTGCTCAGCAGTTCTGCATCAGTCAGACCCCTCACTGCTGTAAGCGCCGTGGGACCTCCAACAAAATGGAGGTCGTTGCTGGCGGTTTTGGGCTCAGTCATAGAGCACCAGTTTTTGTCTGCAGCATTCGAAGGGGGACTAAGAGCAGCTGTGTGGGAAGTCTGATCTCATCTCAGCTCTTATTTTGTGCAAGTGTACTGACCCAGCCTGAAATTTTTCTCTGAATTCGTAGTGCTTAAATTAACAGTGGAAGACTCTAGTTGAATCTGTGCATGCAGGCAGCTTCATGACAGAGCTGAGCGAAATCACCGGGATTGAACATCTGGCATAAGCCATCAGAAACTTGCTCTACGCCCCAAACAAGCGCGTCGTGAGCTTCATGCAACAATACCTCATCCAAATGAACAAACCTGTAGGTTTGCGTGTACTGCCTAGCCCTGAACCTCTGGATGGGCTGCTCCCACTGCCGTGTGTGCTCTGCAGAAGCCACGGGTTGGGCTGACATCCCCTCCACCACCCTCCTTATGTTTGACGGTGGGGGTAGAGACAGACTTTCAAATACACACCCTGGGGACTTGGGAGGGCAGCTGCTCCAGCCATAACAGGACAGTCTTGACTGTGCTGGGTTTTGTGCCTCTTCTTTGCTGCATTGACCAATGGATAAGAAAACATACAGCAAAGGCTGCATCTCAGGCGTAGCTGTGAAGTCCCCCACCACCAAAGGCAAATGGAGCTCGTCCCACCACCCGCCATTCTCTGCGTGACGTCCCTGCATCACCCGGCTCATCCGGTTTGCAAGGTCATTTTTTTTTCCAGATGCCCCTGGGACTGGATGATTTTGACCCAGTGCTGATGCATCTTCTCTCCGCTTCTTTCAAAACCACGGATTAAAGCAAACAACCTCCAGATGGAGCTCATGGTGCGCAGACCTCACCGTACCTTGGGTCTCCTCCGACCGCAGGGAGGGAGTCCCGGCGGTGGCTGTGGGTATGGTCCCCTGAAGAATACTCTCTCTTGCTTATCTCGGGAAACCGAAGCTACATGTAACACTCCACTTTCTGGAACGGAAAGGAGCATTCAAAAGGTCCTTCAAAGCATTCAAAGGTGCGTAACACCTATTTGGTTACCTACTCGTCGAGCTGGGTTTACAGCAATATGAAAAGCTACGGGACGCAGAGAGATGTCATTAACAAGTAGACCATCCTGTAGCCAGCTCGCAGGCATTGCTCCAGCATTCAAGAAGTGATTGTTTAAAGCTGCTATTGCCTGCACAGAGCACACAGATTAGTTGGTATTTTCTTTGCAACACGTGTTTACCTCATTATCATACTTACTTTCCACTGCTACAAAACTTCCAGTTCTGTATTCACCTAATAAATACTCCTAAATTTATGGGGCATCAATGCCCTAAGGCCCACGAGAACCTAATATTTGGGCAGCTGGCAGCAAGACATTCTGGTTTACAGTTCTATGCGTAAAGCGATACATATTTTCATACCTGTATAGCAACACATTCTGCTGTTCTGGGGCACAGAATTATACATACGCACTCAGCATAGCTGTAGACGTGATATGGGCGTTTTTTTAGGTTTATTTTTTACATTCTGAAAGTGATGTGCTGTCTTAGGAGCTCTCAGTTTCATTTTCAAAGTGAATGTCAGGTAAGATGCAAAAAATGTTCTTTAAGTTACAGGAAAGGTGTTTATATCAGCCCAATTTACTTAATTATGCTTTTAAATTGTGGAGGTGTTTTGTTGATTGTGCAGCTGTGTGGATGTATATGCAGATGTATGCACACTTTCAACCATGAATATATTACTCTGTTTCTCTGCTTTGACCTGTTAAACCACTTGAAACTCAGGTTTATGCTTTTGTTGGATGCAGTCTGCTGAAACTGCAGTCTTCGGGCATTTCGAGTGACTCGCCTGTTTATGCTGAGTACTTGTTTCAAATCCAGTTTCTTGTAGCACCTAGAAATGCGATACACAGGCTAAGAATAGTATATGATATGAATCCACCTGCAGGTGATTGCTCAAGGGAAGTCTCATTGAGATTAGGCTCATGGAACAGTGGATCAAAACTCACCTG